TGATTGGATATAAATGCAATAGTCCATACGACAACGTGACTGCCGGCCAATTTGGTAATCATGCAAAATCGGGCTTCGAACTCCTGATAAAGCAAGTGTGGAAACTGGGTCGAATGCAACAACACATCCGGTATTTGATCCGTGTGTATGTGCAGCAGTATAATCAAGGTGATTTGACCGAGAAAAATGAATCCTAGTGGCAAATAGAGCAACAGTTGCATTCCACCCAAACACGATCCGACGCTACCACATGTGAATATTCCGTATGCGGGATTCCATCCGTGCTGTAGGCCACAATATTGCGTCAACCACAAGCCAATCCCAACCGGTAAGCTAGGCAGACACATGGACAAGGACGGACCGAACCAACTCCATCGCATTTCGCTACGGCTGCATAAACGGCTCACGCCTGATTTTTGATAACAACCGGCGTGAAAATTCTCCCGGAACCGGGGATTGTTTGAGCAAGTGTACACATTGTAACTATCCATTTTGCCACGACATTTCACAGCGTCCCGGGCCGATCTACTTCCCGCTGAATGTGAAGAATAAGAACTGTTCTGAATTGGTTTGTCCAGTATTCTATTGCTCCTCGATCGAACTGGAAAAGGGAACTGGGACTGTATTCTTGGGTTGTTGCTACTGGTACTGCTGCAACTACCGCTACTCCCGGATGTTTTTGTGTAGGCACCTTTGGAAATGTGATACTGTTCGAACAGAGCGAACAATGTGGACAAATGGACTGAAATGGACAAGTAGTGCAACACGGCATCGACCATGGTGCACAAAATAGTTTGGGCATTCGCCGGCGTGTGCATCGCTTCACCGGTGAATCGTAAATGCACTGCCAGATTGGTCGGAATATACGAGCTAGCAAACAACAGGAGATTATGCGCCGCGGTTAGTCCAATCGAAGTCAACAAACAAGGACCGTAAAGCCGGACAAGGCCATGATTTACTGAGAAAACCAACAGAATGTGTATGAGTAGAGCGGCAGTTCCCACTGCCAAACTGGCATGAGCAATAGTCGAATGGGAGTGCATTGTTGGACAATTCTGATCTAACTCCAGATCCAGCCAGGACCCGTTGCGTGGTTTCAAATGACGACCAAGCACAGTATGCAAATGGGACAATTGCTTTCCGATGATCCACGTGAAATCGGAGCCAGCTGAATCATTTAGTTCGGCATTGAGAATATCCTCAGCCCATTGGCTGGCAACTGAACCAACACATCGTTCGATCAAACTGCGAGCACTTCCGGGAAATCGGACAAAAAGCTCGATTTCACTTGTCCCGTTATCCATTTTCTTTGACGGAAGACATTGAAACAACTATTAGAACAATTCCCAGTTGACTGATGGAGATACAGGTGCAGTGTAGATCAGCAGCCAGGCTACGCTGGAAAGTGAAGCGGATTAGCATGCGAACGCTGCGAGTTCGTTGCTGATTGGTTCATTTGCTGATTATCAGTTGTGTTATTTCGTTGGTTGTTTTCAAATCGTTTTGACCAATCAGATTGCAATAAACCAAAAGTGTGGGCCTGGTGTAAGAGAGAGAGAGAGAGAGAGAGAGAGAGAGAGTGGGAGAGAGAGAGAGTAAGAGGACATGAACGACTGTGTTGGCTAGCACACAAAACATGGAGGAAAAAATAACATCGAAAGTCTCGTGAACTACATACATAATCGGCAACGTTCAGTGCGAGAGTTTACAATGCGCTCTAAAGATTTCATGGACAATTGTTTTCTTTGTTTTTCTTCCGCTTCAGTTTAGGCCGTAAAATTCCAATCCAGTCAAATTGTTAAGAGGACCATCAGAGACTACAAATTAGGTTACCATGATAACTGTGGGTAGGCCACTCTTAAATATGTGATGCATGGAGCATGAGCTACAATTCTAACTCTTAGGACATTTAAAAAGCTGGCATTTACCTCATACTCGGTGAAATAAACAATAAGAGGATTTGTAAAAACCGTTGCAAATTAGTTATCATCCTGCAACACCAATCGATGCAAACCAGTTGTGCGAAAACACCACATATTACCGTTTTGTTGCCTAACATCACGATTTTTTTCCTATCCCACCGATGTCATTTGAATGCGAATGGAACTTGATCGACCCAACCTGTCTGAACGTGTCCTTGTCATGGTGGATATCGCTCGGTCACGCCCATTTTACCTTAGTTGTTGAACACTCACTGTTGGTCCTAATAATAAAACTTTCTCCAATGTCTTGTCTTGTTTCACCACTAATGTTTTATGGTTGTTTCAAAATATCTCGGTGCACAAATATGGTTCACACCAAGCTACTATACTTATCATGATTCTCTTTCTTGTGAATGTGAATCGGACAATCTAAAGCTTTCTCCTGCCAATCAATATTTTCATAGCCCTCAGATTTTAATGGATTAGTTAGAACTGGTGTTCATTAGTTACCAATAACAACCGCTCTATATAATCCCGGCAGTCTATCACGTCAATGAGATTCTAACACGTACATACTTACAGTTAGGTCGGAGTATTTGATTTATCCATTTGTACCACAAGTGGCTGTCTCGGGCCATTATGAAAAACAAAACCCGTAACAGCTTTCCTGTTCTCATCCAGTGTAACTTGACATGAATCATTGAATGCTTAATCGAAGCAATCATATACTCATGGCTACCTGACAGAGTGTGGCAAATCAGAAAGCATAACCGGGAGCTGAGACTAACTAAGAGATAGTGTCATTTGGTGACACGGATTGCAGTATTCTAACAATTTTGTTTCCGATCATTTCACCCCGATTGCAAGTATCAACTTGTTGAGCTTCCCTCAGAAAAAAGCAATTTCTTGAAGTGTGTGATGGATATATATATATATATATATATATATATATATATATATATATATATGAGCGAAAAGGTTCAATGTGTCCCTAAAGACTGCGTGTTCATTGCGTGTTCCCAAACGACCTCATATTCTCAGTGAATTCTCAAATTGGCTTTAATTGTTTTGGTTTTCTTATGCCAAGTATTGCATTCCTCTCAACCATGTTCCGTTCAACGCTGTGTAAATGACCTTTTTTAATGACCAGACGGTTGAACCTTGTAATTTATGACACTAGTGACCATTGTCCGCCCTCTCAAACAGCTCCCGTGATCGACCATGTGCAATCAACTATCTTTTTCATATTTTACTTTTAACAATAGCCCCGATATTCAAAGTTACCTTACAGTTACTGTAAAATCTGGATGGACAAACGTCCAGTATTTTTCCTCACGCATCACTGTCAGCTCACTCAAGTACCAGGAGATGTTTTAAGCTGAATGATTATATTGCCTTCCTGTCGCTTATTTAAGCAGTGTACACATTTACCGATCTATCAGCGATTCAGAATCCGGACTATACAGGGTTGATTGTGAACGCACGTTTTTGCGGGCTACCTCAGTGCTATCCTATAGCTCACATCCGAACTGACCAGAATGGCTAAATTGTATGTTGTTTCCTTGCAATAGCAATATATCTCATCGTTTTGCTGGCGTGTTCTCCAGAGCAATTCCATTCATATAAATGTCGGTGGAGGTGTTTCTAAAAATGTTGGGAACGACAGTATTGTGCACGTGTTGAGGCCATTTGAATCTGATCAAATTTGTCCATTCTGTGCCCGTCCAAAACGCTGGTGAACCAATCAGTAGTTCACCAACCGGGCACATGGCCTTCAACCTTCTTTTTTATTGTTCCATTCACTGAGATTTACTGCTCTAATGTGCTATGCACGTGACCTGTTCTTTTCATCACTCGTTCTGTCAAATAAACGTATCTCGCAAAATGTGTTCTAACCGCGTACGTGGCGTGTCAACAGCACTGTAACCGGATTTTACTCCAAGACGGCTCGTTACAAACCTGTGCAAATAATGTGATTAAGAGAAAGTCGCGATTGGGTCGCAACAGGTGTGCGATGGTTGATTTATGTTCATCAGTTCGAAGTTCAAAAAAACGTTACTCCAGCTTTGTTATTCGCAATGAATCGTACACTTTAAGTGGCCGTCACGGATTGCAGGTTATTAGTTTGATTGTAATGTGTACTGTATTGAGTTGTGCTGGCAATTATGGTTCCATTTCAGTCAGTGAGTTGTGCTGGCTATCTTTATAAGGGAATAAAATGTTTAAACACTTTATATACAAGAATGATAACATAGGCAAATAATTATTATCGTAGGTTGAAAATGAGTTCCTTTCGAATCTACATTCTGTCAGTGAGAATACGAGCCAAATAAGGTAGTATGCCATCGTAAGAAATGTGTATTTAGAAGCATTTAGAAGTATTCAACCACAGACTGGATTGATTCGAGAATGATTGTACTTGTAGTAAACAGTCGGAAAATGATTCTATGTCTGATTGGTTTCAGATAGCTTCAAATAAGACCACGTTATTAAAATTTATTTTGAAGGTCTTGTATGATAGGACGGACGTTGAGTCACTGATGACTGTTGAAAATAAGTATGGAAAGAGCACTGCGTTCTGATGGACTCCAGAATTATTCACTAACAGTTTTGAAGTAGTACCGTTTGCTTTCGTTCTTTGAAGCCCTCCTTTGAAATAATCTTTCAAACATGACAAAAGTTGTTGGGGAAACCGAATATCTGTAACTTTCGCAGAAAGAAGAAAATATTGCGGAAGATTAGTAAAAGAAGACAAACAGACATTTAAGAATCGTCTAAAGACAGCATCCAAACCGTATCTATTTGGCTTGTACGCAAACTGGAGGGGTCATTGGGAACAATAAGACAAGAATACAAGCGGGCGTGAATAGCGCACACTGCAAGTTTACGTCTAGAAGAGGTGATGGCGATAGAACGAAAGCGTTTAGATAAAACGCTAAATGAAGAGGGTTTAGGTCTAGGAACAATAGTGAACGGTCTCCGGGCATTCGGAATCAAGCATGTGTAAATGGATTGTTTTTTATAAGGGACGCGAAAATCTCTGTGACTGAGCTAGCGCCCTATTTCAGCCATGACGAGGATGGGCCATCGTGACCAACCTCTTTTATAATTTTTACAGTCTCAAGGAGATAATAGACTTCGTCATGGGTAACTGGGTCTACGATAGATAGGTGATCTGTGGGGTACAGGGACAGAAGATCATTCAAAGGATAAATGCGTGCAGCATTGAGACCGTCCACGTCAATAATTTTATTTGTTGTTCATTTCTTCTGTCCGTAAAGCAATCTGATCCATTGCCATAACCGTCTTCTATCTCCAGCTCATAGAACTTGCTCTGCCAATGAAGCATTCTGTCTTTTGATTTTTAGTGTAAGCTGTTTGACAGTGGCTGTTTCGTCATCTTGAACGCTAGTTCTTTTGTCTCCTAAGAGCTTTTAGCCACGGAACGCATGTTCTGCCAATGGGAACAAAAACTGTCTCCATAGGACAGCATAAATTGAAAATCACGTTAGCTGTTCCTGTAAAATGTTGAACAGGGAGATTTTTGAACGAAAAACCACGAGGAGATGATAGCAAGAGGTTTCCTCATTAGAATGAGTCTGTCGGTTGAAGGATTACGAAATTTTAAGTTCATTTGTTCACAGTTATTGTCCAGACTCGTGCAACATCCTGATTTCTATCACATTTTTTCCTTTCAGTGGTTAGTTTTTCCAGCCGCAGTCACGGGATTGAATATGATATTGTCCCAAATCAGATGCAACATATCTTATATAATACCCAGTTATGTCTTTGTTTCTATTAGCCAAATGCCAATAAAATGTAGGATTTCGCAATTTTGACAATGCTCGCCGGTGCACCAGTTGTGAAATAATAGAAATAATAGTAGAAGACGTAACTATGATTGATTAAGTACAATGACTCACAGACTTCGTATAGGTATTGCACTTTCATCTCGTCCATTTACCCTTCCTCTTTTACAGCACTGGAGGCAGTCGTTTGAGCATGGGGTTCACTAAGTTGATTGGAAAACAGAATAATACACCCCGCTCCCTAACCATTACCGACCAATGTGGAGGCAGCGAACTTATCCCTGTTTCAAATAGAGTAAAATGTTTTCGATTAAATTAAAATTCAAGCTACCTAGCGGTAACTGAATTAATTTGACATTGAACTTGTCCCCTCCAGATAGTGCATAAATGTAAAAAAAAAATAATATTTATAAGGTTTTACCGTTTTTACTACCAACCTAAGACGAGGAAATACACCAATCTTCGTCTGTAAAAAATATGACTTCCGCGAACACGTTTAAAGGGTTACCAAAATTTCCCTTGTCGGTGCAAAACATTTTGCGATATCTAGCCTGGTGCGTACAGGAGACCAAT